CCACTTTTGAATATTTTTCTTAAGAAATATATTTTAAAACTATGTTAACACAGAAAAACGTGAAAAAAATGGTGAAATATAATAAAAATACTGTCCAGACTCTGTTTTTTAATATACCTCCAGTAAGTAGTCGTTGCATCGTTTTTGTAGTCTTCCCACTGGTCGTTTTTCCATTGTGGAACGGTATCTCGCCGTCCTTGATACTCTATTTTTTTGTCATTCTGTCTATATGATCGTTTCATTTTACTCTTCTCCGTCATCTCAATCATATCGTCTCTCGCATCTTCGTCAGGTCATATCGTCGGTATACTGCGAAAACCAGGTAAATGTCGGAATACCGAAATTGAGAAAAAACGTTTTTAAAGTTTAGTTTTTTATTGTGAATTAAGCAATCAGCTTGTTTTTAATATTAGGTATTCTACTGAAAGATGCATGTATCTTAAATAATTTTCTATCAGTAGTTTGAAAAATTTAGACACCTATCTGACTAATCCTAAATTTGAGTTGGACCTTACTTACCTGGTTTTAGTTCTAAATCTGAATTTGGGTTGGATAATGATTATTTTTCCATTCCATTTTTTATACTCTTCAAACAACATATTTAACACAAATATAATAAACCAAGTATGATATTTTCAAGTTTTGTGATCGAGATATAAGGCTTTTACTAGGCAGTAGCAATATTTTAAGTTATTAATAGATATTTATGACATTTAACTGGTTTTTCCTGAAAATTTTATTAACATTAACAAATCTATTTCAAATATAATAATAATAATATTATTATTATGAGGCTTCCTAGTCCGATTCGTCACTAAAAGCAGGCTCTGGCAAGATGTCTGTTACATAATTTCCCGTTTTCAAATTACGATACCACCCATGATATCCCTTCGGTATCACCCCCTTATCACATAGCTGTACAAAATCTCCCTTTTTTGCTATGCTAATTGGCAAATGTGCATCACAAAGTCGCTTACGTTTTTCAAGATTGCTTATATTAGTTGATAACTTGACGTGCTTTTTTCGTGTCGACTGCCATGCAGTATCAGTAAGGAAATAATTGAAGCTTATTGACATGTCATAATTAAAATAGATTCTGTTTGTCTCTCCTTTCATGAACCTCATTCTTTTTATCTTTAACCACATTATTTTTTTGCCGTTTTGATCTTTTGTCTGGTTTTTAATTAAAGTGTGTGATAAATTTTTTAAGTCATGAAAGTCGTACTATTTAAATTGTTTACATTTGTATGGTTCTATACATACATTTTTATCATCAACCTTGATATTTTAAGTTTCTCTTGCATTTTGAACAACACACAAGTAATCTGGCATCCCATAGATAGATCTGTGTTTTTAGCGGTTTCGATACTACTATGTATAGAGTCAACTTCCATATAGAAATGTCCAGAGTCTAAAACTTTGTGTTCAATAATATTTAAATGGTCTATCTTTTGAACAGCCCATGATAGCAAGGCTACAATATGCTGATTACTATTCTATTCTCCGCAGGTATCAGAAAATATACTTAGGTATTTCACTTACATGTTCTGGAACACATTTTGATAAGTAGTAAAGTATAACGCTTCCTATTTCAGAACTTCCTCGTCTACCGCTAATTTCTGACCAGACAAAATAGTAGGCTGCATTTGGTAATGCGGTTTCATATACACACAAATTGTAGACGCATAATTTCCGAGAATAATATAGTTGTCCAGTCAATTCACTTGGAATCTGCAGTACGGCCTGTAGATCGAAAGTAATTAAAACAAAATCTCGTTGTTTATTAGATCTTTTCTTATCATTTTGTTTTTCAATGTTACTACTTCCTTTCCTTTCTGATGTTCTCTGTAACTGTCTTCTAACTCTGATTTGTCAGTTGGATTAGCCCCATAATATTTCATAGGGCTAATCACAATATAAGCCTTCAGGATTTTTTGGGTTTTACTGCTTGTTTTATTTGGCGGTGTATACTTGCCTCTTTTGTCCGTATCTGCATAACAGCCTAGAATATCAGTTTTTATTACATCTTGTATTACCGACACTAATATACAAAGAGTCTTACAAAAAAATTTCTCACATACCTGTATGTCTTGACCATTCAAAGAAAAGTAACACTTTTTGGAAAATGCACCTGGTTTTTTTAAACTTCGACGAACTGCAACGACTCTCTTTGGTGGCTCTGTTTAAATACGTGTAATTAAACAATTTTTCTACCCTATATAGTCTAACTTTTAATAATCACGAGATAGTCTTGTCTGTAATCTTCGCTGAAATAACTGACACATTTGTAAAAGCACTCTGAACAGTTAACTGGTTTTTGGCAATTTTGCTGGTCTATTCTTTTTTTATCTCATAAGACAAACCATCAACACACCTCCTTTTTGAGACATTTATTAGGCTATCAAGGTCAGCTATCTGTAATTCATATAGACTACCTACAGAAAGTGATCCCTCTTTACTTGGCTGATATGTGGGGTCTACATCTGAAAAGTCACTATTAAAAATTAAAAAAGTCACAGCAGATATTAGCAGATAAATTATATCATAAACACGATTAAGATAATTTATGGTTTTAGCTTAGTAATAATTTTTAAATTCTAACTCAAACCGTGTTCAGGTAGAATTGAGTAAGTGTACTTAAAGTTTTTTACTAGTCGATATGAAAGAGAAATTTTAACAGATCATACATGTAAAATGTATTAAAAATACTTATTATCACCTTTTTAATGAATATGGTATGCAGTAGTAAAAATATATTGTTGTCTGGCATAATAATATAATATGTGGGCGTACTTTGTTTTACATGCAACAGAACTTTAATTTTATGGAAGTAAGTAGCGATATATTGTTTTATTTGAAAATGAACAGTTGGTTAGGTGTAACTTTTTTTTTTGTTACACCAATTATCTGCTGAATGGGTAGTCCTATCATTTTTTGGGTTTTACCTGTGTGTAGAGCGGAAAAAGCTGAGAATTTTGGTATATTTAACTCAATAGTTTAAAATTTGTCATTCACCTGGTTGGTGTGGAATGTCAATATTGGTTTTTATTTTTAAGGTCTAGTTAGTAAATTCTGCCATTTGTTTCTTTTCTGATATTTTTATTTCTCCATATTGTTTCATTTAGGCATATTGTGGCTCTGTCAGCTTTATTAACTTGATCGTTTACTTTTCTTCTGAGCTTTTGTAGCATAAAAGTGTAGTGCTAAGATATTTAAACTCCATTTCTTGTTTTATTATCTGTCACTTTAATTTATATCTTAGTAAATTTGCTTTTATAACCATGCATATTGCCTTTTTTGGTAAAACTATCACGTTTTACATACCTAGTTTGAGTTTGTTTCTTACCCTAATGAAAATTTTTAGTAGAATTTTTTGGTCTTAGATTCATGAAAAAAGATTGTCTATGATACTAAGATATTTTTATTGACTTTTTTAACGTTTTGTTTTACGGTAATAAAAGCATAGGACAGACCCACTATGTCACTACAGGTAAAATGTATTTTAAAATTTAATACATCAAACATCAAACAATAAATTGAATTTTAAAATAAATTTTACTTGTAGTAACTTAGTAGGTTTGTCTTATGTTTTTATTATTAAATTAATTGTTAATTTAACCTTTACATGCTTGGTAGGTCAAAACTGTTGTTAACCTTATATGTCATTAGATAAAATGATTTTTAGTCAATATTATTTCTTGAAAAAGAAATGGATATCTTACCGAGATGACGAAAAAAAAAAAAGTCAATAAAAGTGTCATAATATTATTGACAATCTTTTTTATGAACTTAAGCCCAAGAATTTCTACTAATATAATATAAACATGATATATATTAAACATACGTTACAAATTAGCTTTACTTTGAGTGCTTAATGGTCCAATATCTACATAGCAGATTATTTTAAGTTGTTTTTCTCCCATTTGGTATCTTTTTTTCGGTCTTACTTTTTTATTATTTCTTCCATGATCAAATTGAAAAATAGAGAGCTAAGGGAATATTCCTGTCTTATCCTATTTTCAGCCTTAATTTGGTCGGTTGGTACTACTTTTACTTATAGTTTTATTATAATATTCTATTATATACTTTTTTGATGCTGTTAAAAGCCTTCTTCTGTATTTGGTTAGCTATATTCTAGTGATATCTCTTGCTGTGATATCTATGACCTTCATGATCTAAAGCTTGTTATTCTTCTGCTAGTGTTATAATTTCCCTAAGTTCTGATCACTTTGGTTGTTAATTTTATTATAATCTTCAATAGTTTGATCGCTCTGTAGTTTTCTGGGTCTGATTTGGCCCCCTATTTAAAGAGAGATATTAGAATGCTTGATCACCATTCTTGTTGTTTTCTGTTTTATTTTACTTGTATTATTTTTTTGATTAGTTTTAATATTTCTTTAGCAAAATATGTACCTCTATAATTTGGGAGTTCTTTTGAAATTCTCTCCATTCCTGATGTTTTTTTTTAATTCATTAAAGCTCCTATTATCTCTACTAACTCAATATTGAATTATTTTATTTGTCGTCCCTTCTGATATTTGGTGATCCATTATCATCATCGTAGTAAATAAATAGAGATTACATATTGTAAAAGTTATTTGCCTACTCTATAAACTAAGATTTTATTTCGGATAAATTATTCAGAAAGATTGATTAAAATAAAATTTTTTATACAATTCATTAATTAAAGAGAAAAAAATTAAAATGATCTAAAAACTTATTTAAATAGCTTTTTTGTAATTTTTTTGTTGGATTATCCCTGAAATTCAAGATGCTGTATTAATACCTATTTAGGTGAAGTCATAACCAGTTAGTTACTGGTATACCTATAAACTATTTTAATAAGTTAAAATATTTTTATTTGTGGAAAAAAATTTATACTGTGTTCTGCAATCCTTGTATCTCACTCAAAATAGCTGTCAATAATAACTAAATCCAAAGAAAATTGTTTCAAATAATTTAACTTTTTTATACTATTTAATTCTTTAATTTGTTTTTAGACTGATTATCATTCCACTAAATGAGTTAACCATGCTATGAAGGACTATGATCTACCCAAAGTTCACTCCTTCCAGATGTTTATTATCAATTACTTTAACAAGCTTAGTAGTATTGTTAATCTTTATCTCTTCTTCTAACGATAGAACTACCGAAGAATTATCACCTGGGAGAATCTTTAATAATGAAATCAAACCAGGCAGAAACTACACACCAGGTAATGTAACTATTTATTATGTTTCTTACGAGAATGTTCTGATATCTAGCCAGCCTAGTTCAGTTACGATAAGAATGAAATATTGCGTTACCGTAACACAAAAATTAACAATTTAAAAATATAACTGAAAAGTTTTACTGTAAAAAGTCAAACCATTTTCAGCACAATTCCACTCTAAAATTTGGAAAAATATTTCCATCGTCATTGTGAATAAAGATCGGGAAGGCCAGTTTTTAAGTTTTTATGTTTTCCCCCTTCCCCTGTAAGTATTAAGACATATATAATTTTTTATTATAGTAGAAAAAGATCAACACAATACGTGAGTTACCGAGCTTTACCGATATGATTTATAAAAGCGACATGAGTAAAATTTCTGCAAAATGAATATCCAAATACATGAATGTTGACTAGAAGCGAGTAAGGGTATAAACATCGTGTTCTATTTATGCTGACTTTGAAGTAAATGAAAACTTCTTAAGCCATGTTGTTAATATCAATAAAACTATTATGAATTCCTTCGAGATAGAAATAAAAAAGCGATCTATAGAATAACCATAAGTATATTCTTCAAGGCCTAAAAATTTTAGTGTTTAAAAGCTTTTGCGTCAGTTTTCTTGGGAGTTTTAAGGAGTAATTATGTTACGACTGGTGGTGAAAAATGTAGCTATTATTTCTCAAAGAACCGAAGAATAATTTTAAAAATTATTTAAAGCAGCCGTACTCAAACTCTGGTACACGTACCACTGGTGGTACGCAAAGCACTGAAAGGTGGTACTTTATAAACTAGAAGAAACGAAGAATTTTAATAAAATTTACTCACAAATGTTACCTTTTACGTTGTATATGGCAATACTATGAGTTTAAAACTACAAGCGCGTAATGTCCTGTTCATTGTTGGCAACACTGGAATCACGGCAAATTGTCACCGCCCTTGATTTACGTCCATTCTTGTATCCATCAGTTTCCTCGTGGCCGTCAGTTGTTGTGGTTGGTTTTGTCGAAACGAGTAATTTGCTGTTACTGATTTGTGCTAATTTTTGCACATAAAAAATGGATAAGTGGCTTAAAAGAGACAACAGAACATCTGAGAATCCCGGTCCATCGAGCTCTATTTTAGAGCAATATAATTCGGAAATTCTTTCTAAGCAGTGTATGAAACATTAGCTATTAAAACGCCACTTCAATACAAAACATTCAGTGGTAAAAAATAAACCGGAAGCAACCAAAAAGCAGTAGAAGCATCCTTTCTCGTGAGTTTAAGAATTACGAAGTGTGGGAAAGCACAATACCATCGGTGAAGAACTAGTTCCGCCTACCGCATAAGAGTTGGTAACGTGTATTTTAGGAGAGAATTCAGTAAAACAGCTAGTATTATACCATTATCCAATGATACCGTACGTCGTAGTATTGAAATAATGGTCTTAAATGTTAAAGAAAAATTGGTAAACCAGATAAAAGAAAGTTTTTTTTTGCAATACAAATTGATGAGAGCACAGATGTAACAAACTATGCTCAGCTTATGGTTTATGTGCGATATCTATTTCAAACCAAAATCGAAGACGAGTACTCATTTTGTGAGGCGTTAACGGAACGAACTACTGCCGATGAAATATTCAAGAAAATCAATAATTTTTTTGTGGAAAATGGACTAGACTGGAAACAATGCATTCGTTTATCTTCGGATTGAGCCAAAGCTATGACAGGAAAATACGGAGGTGTAACTGCCAAAGTAAAACTGGTTGCAGAAAATTATACTTTTACCCATTGTAGTATCCACACAGAAGCAGAGCGAACGCCAGATAAATTTAAACATGTTCTACATGAAGTCGTTCAGATAGTCAATTTCATAAAATCTCGAGCCTTAAACCCGCGTTTATTTTCAAAACTATGCTCTGAAATGGGAAGTGATCATATTCAGTTATTGCTACACAGAGAGGTAAGATGGTTATCAAATGAAAAAATGTTGAACAGGTTTTTCGAATTCCGTTCTGATGTACATGTGTTTTTAATGGAAACCAATTTTAAATTGCGTGATCGGTTACGAAATGAATTGTACAGATTTAATCGATTAAATGACCTAAACTTAAGCTTACAAGGCAAACCACATAATCGATTTTATGTAAACGACAAAATAAAAGCTTCTATCAAGAAATGTTATATGATGAAAAATAGTGTTTCAAACAAAGACTTGCAATCGTTTACCAATTTAAAAAATTTTTTGGTTGAGCATGAAATAAAGATTTTAAAGATAATCATATTTTTGACATTAAACAGCATTGTTAAATGCTAGTTGATAGTTTTAAAGAATATTTTGACGAACGCTATGCTTATTTTTTTTGGACAAGAGAACTGGAAAGAGATGAATTTATTTTAGATAGCATTTCTGAAACAAAAAAAAACATGATGAAATAGAATCTTTAATAGAACTAACTTGTGATGGGGGTTTGATAATAGAGTTTTCAAAATTAGAATTAGCCAAATTCTGGCTAAATATTTAAAATGAATATTCAGCCTTTGTCCATCTCAATCAGCCTATCTCAAAAAAAGCATTGTTATTTTTACTTCCTTTTACGACAACCTACCTGTGTAAAACTGGATTTTCTGCTAGGCTACAAGTGAAAAATAAATTTCGCAGTAGGCTTAAACTTGATCCAAATTTACGAATGAAACTAAGTACAATTGATCCTGATATCGATTCACTTGTTGTAGCTATGCAGAACCACCCTTTTCACTGAATATTTAGACTGGCTTAGACTGTAAGTTTTATTTTGTAACATTAATAATGCCCTTTTTAAATACATTTTTGCCAAAATTAGTAAATTTTCTTATCTACTTTTTTAATATGTGGTACGCAATTGACGCAGAATATATATATATATATATATATTATATATATATATATATATATAAATATATATATATATATATATATATATATATATAATATATATATATATATATAAATATATATATATATATATATATATATATATATATATATATATATATATATAATATATAAGAGTAAGAAAAAAGAAGTACTTGTGACTCGTTTGGAAAAAATATAAATCTGTTTTTGATGGGTTGGAGTCAATAAAAGGGGCTATTTGTTAACTCACCAAATAAAATTAGTTTTTAATATAAAACCACTGCTTACATATTAATTACAAAAAATATTAATAAAAAAATGTCTTATTCTAATAAATGTTTCTCTGAAAAATTTTGATGAAGTTTCTTAACAAAAACAATTGAATTTGTAAACAAAAATAGAATAGCTACAAACCGGCCTAAATGTCATAAATACTAACTTAAAAATTTTTATTTTTGACATATTGTCAAAAATAAAATTTTGTTTATAAAATTCTTCTTTGTTTAGTAACAAAAAAGAAAAAAGAAGAAGATTTATTCACCATTGATAGATGCCCGAAAAAATGTAACAAATACATGGAAAATTCAAAATGTGATATTTTACTGACTGTATATATAAATTAAATAGAAATAATATAAAAAGAGAAATCATACGATTTCTACCTGGCGAAATCGAATTCAAATATAAGCCGCCGTGCCCCCTAAGACTTGCGAAGCAAACAGCTTGATGAATGCATCGGCAAGGGAGTCTAAAAATTGCACTCCAAATGCCGTTCATCATGGCCTATATTCATAGGGAATTCGATTTCTGGTACTCCTTCTTCTTCTTAACATGCCATACACCAAACTGCGTAGGCGACTATCTCATTACTAGAATTCTGTTCTTGGCGGTGTGACACAGCTCACCTGTATTGTGTATTCCTGTCCATTCTTTAATATTCCTTAACTAGGATAATTGTTTGCGGCCGGCTCCTCTCCTACCTTCGATCTTCCCTTGTAGGATTAACTGTGGTATTTCATATTTTGCTCCTCTCAATATGTGCCCAAGGTAACCAATCTTGCGTTTTTTAATTAATTCAAAGAGTTCTCTGGTACTCCAAATGAAGTAAATAAACAAAACAAAATGACGGTATTATATTTTGATTTGATACAGAGCAGCGACAAGCCGCATATACGTATTTCGATCTCTTTAGATCTCCTCAGTACGGTATAGTTACTACTCCATATCAAACCAAAATATTTTCCCGTCGTAGATTATAGTTATTAAAAATAACTATTTACGGACGTAACTACGCCATCTAAAAACAAACAGAGAAATCATATTTTTAATAACTATAATTTACGACGGGAAAATATTTTGGTTTGATATGGAGTAGTAACTATACCGTACTGAGGAGATCTAAAGAGATCGAAATACGTATATGCGGCTTGTTGCTGCTCTGTATCAAATCAAAATATAATACCGTCATTTTGTTTTGTTGAGAAATAATATAATTATAAATTTTGCTTAAATTTTGAATTTCTGACCTTTTGTTTAAATTGTTATCACTTTTGCTAATACAAACCATTTCCAAAAAAGTTTTTTAAATTTATTACTTTCATTACATAAAATTTTAATATTATCAAAATCCATAATATGGTCTTTATCTATTACATGCTCTGCCAAAGCACAAGATGGTTTCTTAATTCTACAATCACTCTTGTGAGAAATAATGCGATTTGAATATAATATCAAATCGCATTATTTCTCACAAGAGTGATTGTAGAATTAAGAAACCATCTTGTGCTTTTCTGTAATGAAAGTAATAAATTTAAAAGAACTTTTTTGGAAATGATTTGTATTAGCAAAATGATAATAATTTAAACAAAAGGCCAGAAATTCAAAATTTAAGCAAAATTTATAATTATATTATTTCTATTTAATTTATATATACAGTCAGTAAAATATCACATTTTGAATTTTCCACGTATTTGTTACATTTTTTCGGGCATCTATCAATGGTGAATAAATCTTCTTCTTTTTTGTTACTAAACAAAATTTTATTTTTGACAATATGCCAAAAATAAAATTTTTTAAGTTAGTATTTATGACATTTAGGCTGGTTTGTAGCTATTCTATTTTTGTTTACAAA